CACACACAAAGAGAGAGGTGGGGGGGGGATGGGGGGGCGGGAGGGTCAGGGAGGCCATGATTTAAGATAATAGTGATTCAAATGAATGACAATCTTTTCAACTTTAAAGACTGAACTGTAGAAGTCACTGTTCTGTTACTTTCCTTTGATTTACTGATTAGCAGTTAGCACGATAAGATTAGCAGTTAGCACGATAAGACAACGTTTTTTTACTAACTTTCGGCAGTAACTGGTCATTCACTGTGTCGTCTTCGTTTTTTTAATGGAAGCTGCTGGAATGACATTTAGCTCCAGTTGTTTTAGCTTGTCTTGTGTTTTCAGCTAACCTTCCATTTCCTTCTAGGCCTAAACTGGAGCTTCTTTATGCTAACATTAGCAAATGTTCTAAATGACCATTTTATGCCAGTTTTATAGATTTAAAGTTAAATCTTTCATCTATATCTGGGCTAACTTTAAGCCACTTTTGGCTAACCCTAAGCTGTTACTAGTAACATGCTAGCATTTAGTTTCTCGTGACTCAGTCCTCAGTCTAACTTGAATTGTTGCTAGGTTTAGCTTTCTGTGTGATATCCTTTATTTACATTAATTAAACATATTCTTTTTATTAGTTATTTTTGCTAGTTTTTTCCATTTTTTACTCTATAATTATTGGTGAAGAGTTATTGTTGGATTATTTTAGCTTTTAGCCGCGGTGCGGACGCTTGTGTTTGTACAAAGACTTTTTTAATTTTTCAACTTCCAATAACCTCCTTTGAAGCGTTAGCTCGTCTCCTCTCTCCTGTTGTCTGCAGCGTTAGCTCGGCGGCGGTAGAAAAGTCTGCAGCGTTAGCGTTTTTAATTAGGCCACAGATAGTCATGTGATATCACCAGCAGGATTTGATTAATTACTCATCGCTATCAGGATCATGTTAACAGTGTGTAGCCGTGTGAAGGTTAAGCTGATTACACACTGACAACAGCCCCCCCTGGGGGTGGGGGGGGGAGGGGGCTTCATCTCATACCTGCTGCTATTATTAACATCTTCAACACATCCAGATGGAAGTGACTAGAAGGGGTCCGTGACCTCCTGACCTCTGCCTCGGTCCAGGTCAAAGACCAGCCCCAACACAATCACTTGTTTAAAAGAAACATTTTGGTTTTAGTAGATGGCCAGTAGGGGGAGCACTCTGGGGGTCACGTTATTTTGATATTTTTTCACCCCCTTTTTTAATCCATGTGTCATCATGTTAGCATAGCTAATGCTAATGCTAATTTCATTCAACAGTTTTTGGTAACCAGACCAGACAAAGAAACTTTGTAATGTAACACGTGTGTAACGTGTGTAACGTGTGTGTAACGTGTTCCTATTGGCTGCAGACTTCACACCTTCATCGTCTGATGATGCTCACAGATGAACTCTCACCTTGGTCACTGTGACTGAGCAGACAGAGGAGGCTAGCTACTGGAATGTCAACAAGTGTCCACACACACACACACACACACACACACACACAATCTGACACATTTCTCAGCACAGCAGCCTCAGACCAGGGCGTCCCACGTACACACACTGAGCATGTGCAGATGTGCGTATCCCCGACTACACATCTGCCCCCCCCACACACACACACACACTGACACACACACACACACTGACACACACACACACTGACCCAATCGGTGCTGATACCGTGTTTTTAGCTGCGATGATCCGTGTGAAATGAAGAGCAAACATACCTGGATGTCATTAAAGACGGGGCTGGAACGGAGGGGCCCACCGCTTACCCTGTCCATGTATGTGTGTGTGTGTGTGTGCACATGTGTTTTTTATTTGTGCGTCGAGTATCCACACATACAGTGTGTGTCTTTGCACGTCTGTGGGCCAAGAGACGAGAGCTCTGGTCAAAGAATGTTCTCCAAACACTGAATGTTTCAACAGAACCAGAACCAGAACCAGAACCAGAAAACACACTCAGGTAAAGTCAAGTTCAGAGGAGTACACAGACAGTACTGCACACAGGACAGACAGTACTGCACACAGGACAGAAAGTACTGCAAACAGGACAGACAAGAGGAAAAAAACAGAAAAATACAAGAACGGCTGGAAAAAAAAGACAAAGTAAAAAAAAACAAAAAACACTAAAGGTTGGACAGACAGACAGACAGACAGACAGACAGACAGTCAGACAGACAGTCAGGGGGGCAGTGACCACTGGCTCCAACAGCAGAGGGAGGGTGAGGATTAACTCTGCTCTGGATCCACTCATAGGAGACCCCCACACCGCAACTGTCTGTATTTCTCTACAGGACCTGGACTGATGACTGACGACCAAGACTACTGCAGCTTCAGCGCCATCTGCTGCTCCCTCCTGGCTCTTTAACAGAACACTTTTAGATTTAAACGTGTGCTTGTCTGAGGTTCTGATACAGAGTCCTCGGCTGGTTTTGGTGCCAGTGTTCACTCAGGTTGAATGGCATTACTTGTCAGACACACTTGGACTGTTTTAGACCTGGACTGACCGCAGTCATGTGACCAGGTGACTGAGGTCCGGACCAACTCCATGTCTGAATGTTGTCTGTCTTTATCGCCTGTTTGTGTCTGTGACTTTAACAACAGTAATGTTTCTAAACCACTCGCTGTCCAACACCAAGTCCAGTGACTCTAGCTCACAGAGACTCATTGGCTGTTGGTCCACTGCTGCCTCCTCTGGTCAGTTTGTGTCACTGAGGTCAAGCTGAAAAAGAAAAAAAACTCAAACATTAAATTAAACAAACTTAGTTTGAGTTGGAGGCAGCAGTGGACCAACAGCTAGACTTGATTTCATCAGATCAGTTTTCACTGATAATGCTAACAGTAGTTCTGCACACAAACACATGTTCAAAACCCTAAACTGTTCCTTTAAGTGACTCATGTTTGTCCCATTGAGGTTAGAACCAATCATTGATCTATGAAAATCAGAATTTTCTTCTTTTTTATCACTGCAGCCGTTTGTACCTGAAAAACTGACTTCACACACAGGGTTAGAGATGAAGATGATGATGATGATGATGGTGATGATGGTGATGATGATGATGAAGATGATGATGATGATGATGATGATGATGATGGTGAAGATGATGAAGATGGTGAAGATGATGAAGATGATGAAGATGATGATGATGATGATGATGATGATGATGAAGAAGATGACTGTAATGACGTTCTGTGTTCTAATGAACTCTGTCGTCTGACTGAAGCTAAGTTGTGCTCTGTAAAGGTTAGCTCTCATCGATCGTGGCTGCTCGTCCTCCGGCAGCTTCTCTCCACTTGTTATTGACAGCTCAGTCTGCAGTCCTTCAGTCTACGTCCTCTGTAGACTGTACACTTCAGTGTCTCTGGCAGCAGCTGTTAAATTAATCACTCTTTGTTCCCATTAATTAGTGAAGACGTTGGTTAACGGGTCAGCGTTTCTGACCACTGAACACTGGACGCAAACTGTATTTCTCTGTCCCACAGAGGGGTTAGTCAAAAAGTCCTGAGACAGATCAGTGGTCTTTGGCAGGGAAAGCTGTCCCTTTGATCAGTTTCATCATGGTGGCTTTGATCTGTCTTCATATGATTATGATTAAAGAAGAAGGTCGTGACCTGGGGTCAAACTATAGCCCAGATGAGGAACGAAGGTATCGGATCAATATCGGTGTTGGCAGACACTCCTCCTGCCTTGCTCAAAAGCATCTGTGAAGAGCAGGAGTTGTGCCGGACCCTCGGCTCATCCTGAAAATGTTTGTGTTTCTCAGCACAGATCTCTTTAGGTTGTCGAGAGTGTGGGTGTGTGTGTGTGTGTGTGTGGTTGTTAGCGTTCCGCTCTCACATAATTGATCGCAGCGTCAGCGTCGGTCCCTGACTGTAGTAGAAAACAGTCACAGACGAGACCTGGGAGCCTCCAGTCTGATCGCTGACTCCAACGACGACGAAGCTGTGATCCAGTGCCACCTACCTGCTGCTGCTGCTGCTGCTGCCTTCCAGTGAACTGATCCAGTTTCGAGGTAAGTATAATTATTTTTCTTCATTCCACCACAAACCAGGGCTGATTGGTGTCAGGAGATTGACGGCTGTGTGACAGCTCCGACACACACTTCGCTTGAGTTCAGCTGCAGGACAGAAATAAGTTTAGTGCTGATGTGCTCAGTTTCCCTGATGCCAAAACTGAGGGGGAGAAAAACCTGGGCCTGTTGCAGTAATTACTGGGAAAGATCAGGTTTTATGTGAAGTTTTATGGAGTAGAAATATGCATCTCCGTTTTTATCAGCTTTAACTACTTCCTACACAGTCGAGTGAAAACACCTGTACATAAAACGTCTGGTGTTGAAGACGCTACAAATTGCTGCGAGATTGATGTTTTATTAGTTCTGATGTTACAGTAAATATTTGAGGAGACAAAATAATCCGATATTTAAGTTTTTAAGTTAAAAAAAAAAACCCCAGATGGGTCGATGAGATTCCATCGGGGTTTCTGTTGAAGTTTGGCTAACAGTGAGATGTTTGCGCTAGCTCTTGATGCTTAAATCTAAGGTCACAGGAGTGGAAACCTGACACAGATACGATGATCAAACTGAGACACGCAGACCCGTTTGTTTCTCTCTCTCTGATATCTGAGGTCAGTTCTTACGCAGATGATACTGTTTTTGTGGGATGTAAACTTCAACTGGCAGTTTGACATTGAACACAGTCCAACATTACAGTGTCAGAAAACATGAACATGTGTTTGAAGTCCATATTTTTCGGGGAGACGACCCTGATCTCTCCGCTTAGACGCAAGATTATAACGTAAACATAATTAGCAGTTCCAATTTCAACAAACAGTTGGCCTCGGACATCCTGCTGCCATCGTCGATTATTAAGAAGCTGATCCTTATGGTTCACTGGGTTACTGGGCCGTTACGTGGGCCACATATGTCTACCACACGTTCTCTCCCTCCAAACAGGCCCAGTGGGGGGGGGGTACTTTAATCTGTGATTCATCTTCAAAGGCTTTGAGTTTGTCACTGTTTTAATTCAGCCTAGCATGTCTGTCTGTTAGCCAACTGTGCTTAGCTTAGCTTATCTTAGCGGATCATTCTAACGTCGTATTAGGTTTGCCTCTGTTCTTAGTCGACATCATATCTGATTAGCTTGATCAAATTAAAATAAGGAATTGTATCAAATTAAGCCTAGAATGAAATCTGATCTAAGCCTTGGAAGGTACACTAGCGCCACTTACTGGCAGTAGAATGCGATGCTCTGTGCCTGAGCCTGGTATAAATCTTGTGTCTTGTCCAAGAAGCAGAAGATGAAACATATTGAGCTTCAGCAGATTCTGCCGACGACTCTCTTTAAGGGAAGAATTACTCAGCATTTTTAATCAACCTCCTTCTTAATTGGAGCGATCATAACTTTTTTATCGCGGCCAGGACCCACTTGGCTCCTGTCAAGATTTTCTTGTATTTCTTTTTACCCCAGCCGTCTCCGTCTCTTCCATCCCCTCTGTCAAGGTCGGGGTATATTTGCTCAGGGTGCTCATTTTTCCCTGATATTATCTTGGAAGCCGCAGAACGTCCTCGTAAATTTCAGTCCATTAATTAAGGCGGCCGTTTCTCTGTCCGTCCCCGTCGTCTCATCTCTGCCTCCTCTGCTAACAGGCTAACAGGCTAACAGGCTAACAACGTCGGGGCTTTGTCTGATGGATTCATCTATTTTCATCCATTACTGTTAAATGGTAGCTCCTACTTTCTCCTCCTCTCTTAATGCCCCCGCTCCAAGCCCCTCTTATCTACCCCCCCCCCCCCCACGTCTACAAACTCTCACTCGACTGTTTTTCCTCCGTTTGGTTTGATACAGAAACACTGGTGTACTGTATTAACGTTGACCTTCAGAGTTTGGCTCGCTGGGATTGGCTCAGGGTGATGTTATTAACCAATAAGATTCCACCAGGGCGGCGTCTGTTGTCTCTCACCGTCAGTGATTATTCTGATGGAATTCACTTAGGAAACAAAAGGCAGGTCAACAAACAACAAACAGTGGTTAATACAAACACCTGCCATTGTTGAAGCTAACGATGGACTTTTGGTACTGCTGCTGCTGCTGCTGCTGCCGAGGCTGCTGCTGAGGCTGCTGCTGCTGCTGAGGCTGCTGCTGAGGCTGCTGCTGCTGCTGAGGCTGCTGCTGCTGCTGCTGCTACTGCTGCTGAGGCTGAGGCTGCTGCTGCTGCTGCTGCTACTGCTGCTGAGGCCGAGGCTGCTGCTGCTGCTGCTGCTACTGCTGCTGAGGCTGAGGCTGCTGCTGCTGCTGAGGCTGCTGCTGCTGCTGCTGCTACTGCTGCTGAGGCCGAGGCTGCTGCTGCTGCTGCTGCTGTTGCTGCTGCTGCTGCTGCTGCCGAGGCTGCTGCTGAGGCTGCTGCTGAGGCTGCTGCTGCTGCTGCTGCTACTGCTGCTGCTGCTACTGCTGCTGCTGCTACTGCTGCTGAGGCCGAGGCTGCTGCTGCTGCTGCTGCTACTGCTGCTGAGGCTGAGGCTGCTGAGGCTGCTGCTGCTGCTGCTGCTGCTGTTGCTGCTGCTGCTGCTGCTGCTGTTGCTGCTGCTGCTGCTGCTGCTGCCGCTGCTGCTGCTGCTGCTCCTGCTGCGGAGGCTGCTGCTGCTGAGGCTGCTGCTGAGGCTGCTGCTGAGGCTGCTGCTGAGGCTGCTGCTGAGGCTGCTGCTGAGGCTGCTGCTGCTGCTGCTGCTGTTGTCCCTCTTTCAGAACCACCTCAGACCCTCGTTAGATTTAGACTCTTGGTTCTGTTTTCCATATGAAACAGAAATATGTCTATATTTCTGTCTATATTTCTGTCTATATTTCTGTCTATATTTCTGTCTATATTTCTGTCTATATTTCTATGTTTTTCAGTGGCCTCGTGGTTTTTGTTGCAGTTCTTCCAGTTCTGGGCTAACGTTAGGTAGCATTCAGCTAATGAGGAAACGTTGGTTCCATTTCACCTTGAGCTCGATGCTAATGAAAAGACTGAAAACTATGAATGGACAACAACACATTTTCATTCACACAGTACCAGCAGTGTCCAGTAGGGCGGCTGTGTCATCAGCTGTCAGTTATTATGGAGGGCCCAGGAGAACTACCCACAGTAGTCAACGCAGTGGTGCAGTGGTGCAGTGGGCTGAACAGATCCAAACACCATAAAGGGAGTAACAGACCTGGGATGGTTTGGTGACGTTAGCTCACTACTGCCCCCGTCTGTGTAAAAATGACAATGGCTTCACTCTGCTGCCCCCAGGTGTCGCTGTGTCCCGCTGAGATAATCTACTCTGCCTGTTACATACAGGAAGTACAGGTGATCCAACAGTGGAGAACAGCGCTCCCTGCTGTCCTTTCATATCTAAATTGCAGGGTGGCGCTGTGGAGCTGATGTCACTTCACATCTTTGTCTGAACGTGGACCTTCATCTCTGGACCATGTGATGATGTCACGCTCCTCTTCAGTGGTCCAGGAGTGAAGGACGCTTCACAGACGTGGGACTTGAACCTTGTCTGTGAGCAGATGAAAACAGACCAGGACATCGTCAAACCTACAGGTGTTTCAGGTCCAAGCGCTGTTCCCTGCATGACCTCCGTGACCTCTGTGACCTCCATGACCTCCAGACTGGGACGGTCTGTCTTCGTCTCCTCTCTTCTAACCCACTTCTCATTGGTTAAACTGTCTGACAGGTGACGTCTGTGGTCATGTGACACAGCTGTCAATCATCTTCTTCTTCGTGCAGACGTCTGTGCTCTGACTGTTGACTGATGTCATTTCCTGTCCAGACCTGGACCTGCTGCGGACCAGACAGACATATGTGATTGGTTGTTGGTGTAGAGTGGGTGGAGTCACTTTCCTGTTTGTCTGTAAATGAACCCACTGACCGATTAAGCATCGACCAATGGCTGCGTCCCTGAGTCTCAGCTGTCGGTGGTGACGACACCTGTTCAGAGGATTTGACAGAAACAAAGTCCACCTGAAAAACTGCTGCGAAAAACGAACCCAACGTCAACTTTATGTTGAACAGAAAACAGGAAGTTGATTTATTTGAGCATTAAAACCCCGACACACACACACACACACACAGCTGCCTCAGTGCTGACATAATAGAGAGACAGAAGAAGAGAGTGGAAGTTAGTCACTGTTGGAAGAGGGAGGGGGAGGAGGGGGAGAAGGAGGGGGAGGAGGGAGGAGGAAGTGATTTCTTCATTCATACAGACAGTATTTGCAGAGGAAGTTTGTTGAAAAGAGTTTGTGGTTTTTGACCTCAGTGACAGAGACTGTAAATACAGCTGTGGTGAAAATGGGAGCTTCATCTGTGGTGTTCATCCAACCATCCATCCGGCCATCCAACCACCCACCCAGCCATCCAACCATCCGCTCATCCAACCAACCATCCGTCCATCCAACCAACCATCCATCCGTCCATCCAACCAACCATCCATCCGTCCATCCAACCATCCAACCAACCATCCATCCAACCAACCATCCGTCCATCCAACCATCCAACCATCCGTCCATCCAACCATCCAACCAACCACCCATCCAACCATCCGTCCATCCAACCAACCAACCATCCATCCGTCCATCCAACCAACCAACCATCCATCCGTCCATCCAACCAACCAACCATCCATCCGTCCATCCAACCAACCATCCGTCCATCCAACCAACCATCCAACAACCAACCATCCATCCAACCATCCGTCCATCCAACCAACCATCCATCCGTCCATCCAACCATCCAACCAACCACCCATCCAACCATCCGTCCATCCAACCATCCAACCATCCGTCCATCCAACCATCCAACCAACCACCCATCCAACCATCCGTCCATCCAACCATCCAACCATCTGTCCATCCATCCAGTTGTCTCTCTCTCTCTCTATATATATATCTGTACACACACACACACACACTCCATTAAAGACCAGGTTTTATTGGACACTACATGCCGATGTGTCCCTGGACAGAAGACAGACCTCGGTGTCACCTGGTGCCTGTGCTGGTGTGAGGCGTGGACCTGGAGACGGTGATATATCCTGGGGAACAGTCTCAGTGTAATTAGGGTCTTGTTTGCACAGCATAAAAACCACTTGGCTGCAGCCACCGACGCTAACCTTGAGTCAAAGACTGTAAATAACCGCGTTGTAAAGTTAACGGCAGCGAACGCTCGCCTCCACTTGAGAAATGACCTTGGCTCAGACCAGAGCTCGCTGCGGAATACGCTTAAAACAACGAGTCCGAAACACTGAGGCGTCAGATCAGAAGAAGAAGAAGAGGAAGAAGAGGAAACAGTAAAGAAACTGAAGGCTCAGACCTGCTGATGTTTAGTAGTAGGAACACTGGTCCTGACACGACTCTACGACGACTCTACGAAGCTAAATTGTTGTTTGTTTGGTTGTTTTTTTCTAAAATGATCATTAGCATCGTTTGGATAATGGTCACAAATACAGAAACACTGACATCTAGCTGCTGCTGATTGTCTTTCTGCAGTAAACAACAACAAGGTGTTTGTGTTTTCAGCCTCAGGTTTAAAAATGTGAACTCATCGTGACGACCACGATTAACTGTGATGATTGACAGCTAACAAGGATTTCTGCTCTTGACCCTTTGTCCTTGTCTCTGTCTCCCCCTAGTGGGTAGAAACCAGTACGAGCCCATGTACACCGAGGTGGTCTTACGGTGCGGCTCCCTGGACAGTAACGCCTCGGTGTCGTGGAAGGTGAACGGGACGGACGTCAGAGCCCAGCACCGTCAACTGGGCCCCAAACTCATCCTGACCCAAGTGACCCTGAGTCACAACGGACTCTACAGCTGCTTCCAGAACCCCAACGGAGAGAGACGGGACACCATCCTTCTCCATGTGGGCAGTAAGTTCCTAAATACTGTACCTCTGCTGGGGTAAAAAGATGTGATGAGTCTTTGACCTCGTCCAGAGGGAGAATGAGTGACAGAAAGGGTGAGGAGGGGGGTGAGGAGGGGGGTGAGGAGGGGGGTGAGGAGGAGGGTGAGGAGGCGGGTGAGGAGGAGGGTGAGGAGGCGGGTGAGGAGGAGGGTGAGGAGGAGGGTGAGGAGGGGGGTGAGGAGGGGGGTGAGGAGGAGGGTGAGGAGGCGGGTGAGGAGGAGGGTGAGGAGGGGGGTGAGGAGCTCAGCTGAGGTGAGGAGCTCAGCTGAGCCTCAGGTTGGACACAGCGGTGCACCATGTGACTCATCACTGGTTCCTCCTGCGTTCAGTTTTTCTTTAGCTCCGCGTCGTCTCATATTTCATCCCAACCCAAACTGGCAGTTGTGCTGTTGTCGTGTCAAGTCAGCGTGAGGCTAATGAGATCACGGTCGTGAGAAACTGCGGTTGGATGATACTCAACGTAGAACCAGCATCGTGGCTCTCTGTGCTGAAGGATGGAACCCTACAACCACCCATCCTTCCATCATGTACCACTCCCTCCGTGGGGTCAATCCCAGCTGTCGGCCACTGGGGTCGGGCTGGAACCATTCACGCTAACATTCACACCTGTGGTGAATTTAGATCGGCCAATCAGACTGCTCTCCTGATGACCCTGTTTCTGGGCTGGGGGAGGAAACCTGCAGACCCCAGGAGGATACAGGAACATGGACCGGGGTTTGAACCAGCAACCCCAGTAATCTTACAACATCCGCCACCAAGAGGCAGCAGAGAGTTAGTGACCTCTGTGGTGGAAGCTAACAAATGTTTGTTGGAAGCTAACAAATGTTTGTTTGAAGCTAACAAATGTTTGTTTGAAGCTAACAAATGTTTGTTTGAAGCTAACGCGGCAACATTTAGTTTCAGTCCTTCGTTGAAGTGATACACATTAGCAGTGGAAGTAGCCGTTACTGCGTTAAGGTGGTATAAAAGTACTGTACTGCAGTATAATGGAGCTTCTTAATTCTTTCACCCAACAATTTGTGTCGGCGACAGCTGTTAAAACCTTTTGGTTAATGACAGTTTTAATAGTGAGGTCGTTTGTTTGAAGGGTGAATATTAAATGCTAATATAAAATTTGAATTGTTATGTTAAGAGGTGACACAGTAGGAGGCGCTGCCAGCTGAAAGAGTCCAGTGATTGTTTCTCATCCTGACATCAGGTCATTACACTGTTAAAGCAGTGCATTTTAATAACGCGGCGTCACTTTAACAGCGGGTGACGTCGCCCCGGGTCACTTGGCAACGGTGGCCTTTGTGATCCATTATTGCAGGAGTGAAGGGTTTATTGACGTCTCCGACATCATCCTGTCCAGAAATATGTTCAACTGGAAACAGTTAAAACTCCTCTGGTTTGTTTGTTTGTTTGTTTGTTTGTTTGTTCTCAGTGAATTAGAAACAAATTAGAAACAAATCAAAGAGAGAGATTTGACAGATGAAACTCACACCAACTGATTAGTTTAATGAGTTGTTTATGAAGTTTAAACTGTTAGAATGAGCTGCAGGAGTACAGATAAACGACTAAATTATTATTTATGAAAATAAGGGTTTTTGACAATAAAATATTCTAATTATTAGATAGTAATTTGATTAAATATTTTAAATAATATTAATTGAGTTCTTTATTCTTCCAAAATTTAGGAAAATACAGGAGCAGGCCAGCTAACGGCTAACCTTTGATAACGGCTAACCTTTGCTAACGGCTACCCTTTGCTAACGGCTAACCTTTGATAAAGGCTAACCCTTGCTAACGGCTAACCCTTGCTAACGGCTAACCTTTGCTAACGGCGAACCTTTGCTAACGGCGAACCTTTGCTAACGGCGAACCTTTGCTAACGGCGAACCTTTGCTAACGGCGAACCTTTGCTAACGGCTAACCTTTGCTAACGGCTACACTGTAGAAAGTCAGTATCTGAAAGATCAGCTGACACCAAACAGACAATGAAGTCAACGTGGAACTTCTAGAAAGAACAGAACGACGTAGACAAATCCATGTGTATTTACACACAGTGACCACTAGGACGTCATCAGTGGGTTGTTGTTTCTCCTGATGCTGCTGTAACGTGTGACATTTCCAGACAAACAGCTGACGAATGAGAGTGTGTGTGTGTGTGTGTGTGTGTGTGTGTGTGTGTTCTCTGTTGTTGCACCGTAGGATTTTATGTTGAAAAAAAAATCTGTGAACGGGAGTTTTTGAAAACTAAGAAAATGAAGACGGTGAAAAACATTAATGTGAGGTGAAATGTTATAAACCCGATAAAAAAACAAAAAAACAAAAACCCAAACCTCTTCAGAGCTCGTTGGAGATTTACAGCCTTCTCTTTCTTCCCTGTCACCAGGGGGAGTTATAGTCGCCCTGCCCTTTCCTGGCGTTGTCCGTTCTGTCCAATCGTCTTCTCCTGCTGCCAGTGCAACAATTTATAGACATCTGGTCTGCAGCCATGCAGCGGAGCAGCCTTGTAGCCCACGCAGCAGCAGCAGCACGGGCTCAGAATATATAAAATATATATATAAATATATAAATATATGTAGTGATCTTTCAGAGCCTCAACCTGCTGGACACACGGGCCAAGAAACATTTCTCATTTTTAGCTCCTCAACTCATCCTGCAATAAAGAAAATAAAAAATAAAAAAATGAACACATTAGCACACAGCGCCTCCTTCTGGTTGGTTTGACATCAACAGTCCAAGTCTGTAAGTCGTTGCTCTGGACCCTCACCTGTGACACCGGAGCAGTGGGCTGCTAGCGCCGCACAGCCATGCTAGGGCAGGGATTTGAACCCTCCAGGCTGACCCTGTAACCGCTGAGCCACTGTATCAGTCAGTAGTGAGAGAGGACAGACAGAACCTCATGGGTCCCTGGAGACCCTAACCCCAACTCTGCTGCTGAAGATGTCTCCCTGTCCAGGAGGGTCACGTGTCCTTTGTTTTGGTCCAGTCCAGTCATCGTCAAACACACACACACACAAACACACACACACACACACACAAACGCAGTATGACGTCATTGTCGAAGGTTCACACACACACACGTAAGAAGAACTGAATCAGCGTGGACCTTCAGTCTTCGTCTGTCTCTGTCAAACACACACTGGTCAGGAGGAGTGTGTGACCTTTGACCTCAGGTCACTGTTGTCCACTTCATATCTGTTTCCTTCCTCTGTGCAGCGTCTCACACACACACACACACACACACACACACACGGGCTGCTCATGGAATTGTCTCGTCTCCTCAGACAGGTCTGTGTTGGACACGCTCCTCTGGGACCCCTGCTGTTCAAACAGGGGAAGTGTTTGGCCCCATACACACTCGGCCCTCATTTGAATTCCTCTTTTTTTGTCCGTTCACAAAAGGCGTCCGATCATATATCTGTCTCGTCTCCTCAGACAGGTCTGTGTTGGACACGCTCCTCTGGGACCCCTGCTGTTCAAACAGGGGAAGTGTTTGTGTGTGTGTGTGTGAGACAGTAATAACATGAGGATTTATAAAACCCAGCTGTAACAGAGCAGCAGATCGTAACGTGTCGTAAAATAACCTGAAAACACTCACTGGCTTCGTGTTAGCTACTTTCTCTAGCGATTAGCCGTTCCTCCGCTAACTTTCAGCGTTTTCGTCCAAACACAGTTTTAGGCTAACTTGAATCGATCGCTGTGTTTTCTGTTGTTAGGACACAGGAGCTAAGCTACACGTTAGCTTAGCTACACGTTAGCTTAGCTCCTGCTGTGTGAAGGACCTGGACGAGGAACAGGAGGTTCAACACGAGGCTCTGAACCCTGTCTGTAGCACCGCTGTCGTAGCTAATGCTAGTTCTGATAGACAGACGGATAGATCTTTATTATTGATGACTTAGTTAGCGCTAGCACTGCCAGTGTGGACGGAAGACGGACCGGAGAAACGTCTTTACATAAATAAGACATTTTTTCATTCATTTAATTTTGGGTTCAGCCTTTGGTCGACAGTTGTCTTTTCAGTCATATAATCTGAAACACACACACACACACAGAGACGACAGACGACAGGTCCATGTCTGTGGGTAAAAAAAACTTCAATCAGTGAAAACACCTTCAAGCCGTTGACGTTGATTGGACGGAGGTTTACG